TATTTTAAGGTTTTTCTGTTTCAATCTATAATTTGGTAAATATTGAATCATACAATCCACAGATACAAAAGCTTTTTGGGGTCCTTAATAGTGTATAGTAGTATAAAGGGATCCTGAGAATAAATGTTTGAGAACTGCTTTATAGACCCTTATTAATACCATAGAACCTTGTACTGACAAATTTACCTCATTTCCTTTAGGATTTGGAATATACAATTGCAGTGGTTCTATTTGGACTTCAGCTTGAATTGAATGAAATACTTCATCGTTGTCTGATGACTCATTTCCTTTGTCCTTTAAAACAAAAAGGAAAACAAACATTTAAATTACTGTTAAAATATAGATGATAAGAATAGCTACTTCATCCAAATATACAATTTCAATGAGTAATTTCCAAATATTAAAAAGTGATTTAAACCAGTGGCTTCTATAATTTTTAGTTCTGGATCCCTTTCAGAATCTGAGGAATGGTCATATTTAGTAAGCTGTTATACCTCCAAAGTTTGGTCCTCCTGCTGCAATGGCGGATCTGAAATGTTGCGGTGTAAATATTTCTAATTGATCCCTAGGAGTTTGGGAAAGTTTCTATTTTCCCATTTGAACTGATTTTATCTCTTCAACTCAAAGAGAGTAATGGAAATGTTTTTTCTTTCCTTCTCGTGAGTTGATGTACCCACATATGTCTCTGACAAACTCTAATAGAATTTCAGGTATTTCAAAAGACATACGACTTGACTACAGTTCCAATAATTTTTTTCTTTTAATTTTCTTTTAAAGACCACTAACAAAGATATGAATGCCTATATAAGATCCTAGGATCAAGGTATTGGTAAATATTATTTACTGATTTTTCTTCCATTTTAGAATGGTTGCCTCCATTTATATTTAAAGCATTGCATGATAATAAGTACATGGCATGCTGGTAAATGCTGCGAGTCTTTCAAGGATGCGTAAGAGTCTCTTTCCTTTCCTGAGTACTTTCATGGATGACAGTGATATAATATTTCTTTTTAGGAGGTGGCAAATTAAACAAATATTCACAGTACTCTCAAGTAAGTAGGAAAGTGTAATAATGACTATAAAAATTCAAAGCCACAGATGAAAAACACAGAAGTCTTCTCCAAGGACATTTAGCCAATGTTCCATTCTTCTTTCTAAGGAGCTAAATTTCTCATAGTGCCTAAGGCACTTGACTGCTCACCAGAAGGCTGGCGGTTCAAAGCCACCAGCCACTCCTCGGAAGGAAGGTTGGGCAATCCTACTTCCGTAGTGATACTGCCTCGGAAACCCAAGGAGGGGTCGCTATGAGTTGGGGCAGACTCGACGGCAAACAACAACAACAAATTTGTCATAACCAATTGCATTCTGATATAGCCACATCCATATTATCGGTGTTACATGGCTTTTTTCTTCCTTTACATCACAAATGTAAGTGCCTTTAGCTCTAATTTGTTACTAGGGCTCATTTGAGAATAGTCATTAGCATTTTAAATGCCTTACCCTGGCGATCTCCTTTTGAAAAATCCGCCATTGAAAATCCTATGGACCACATTTCTACTCTGACATAGGTGGGGTCACCATGAGTCAGAGTCAACTCAAAGACAAATAGTTTACTATCAGACAAATATCAGCATTCATGACTCATGTCTCCTTTCTTATCTGGTTTGTTTTCTTTATATCTCCCTCCATTTCTGGGAGCTAGGCATCTATTTTTCCTTTTGGGCTTCTCTTGTTCAAGATGTACAGCGTATCTGGGAAATCGCATTTTCAATTGGCTTAATGGACACAAATAAAAAGACTCATTTCTAGACATTCAGACAAGGTTCATTTGTAATTACAGCATTAATTGTTATTAAGTCAATGGTTTTGGATACCAGTGCTTAAGTTAAGATCATCACAATGAGGTAAATGGACACTGCTAATAATTAGAAAACAACCATTCTCCTAAACTTTTCTACCTTATTATTTCACTTATAAAATCCACAAACCCTTCATTATCAGATTATATTTGCCAAATTAAATTCAACAGTCCAGTCAAATTGTATCTACTCATATTAGATGATTTTGAAAAACTGAAGTTTTATTGACTGTTCTTAAATAAGATAAAGAGGGTAACATATTACACCCTGTATCTCTACTGTCCAGAGATCAATTTGTAACTCTTTTCATGTTCTGAGCAATCATATCATTGATGAATTATGTGAAATGGGTGGCAAACTAGTGAGATAAGCCATAAATATGATATCCATATAAAGAATACTTTCAAAATTGCTTTTTCTTCTCATTTTTTAACCTTGATTTAAATACCCTGAAGTACAAAAAAATGAGTGAAATTCACTTAAATAGTACAGTTAAGTGAACTGTATAGGAAAGGCAAAGAAACGTAGAGATTTAAAGAATGAAACAAAAGTTTGTTTTTGTTTATATTTAACAAGTTATAGATGAAGTTTTGAATCATGAAGTAATATTTTTAGATCAAAAATATTAATTTTCAGTGTGAGCATAACATTGCTTTATTGGTTGGTAATAGGTAGAAAACAAATGATTAAAATTCTATCTAAATAGAGTGGATAATCTAAGCAATTACCTGAATTATTAAAATAATTTTTTTCTCTCAAATATAGTGACAATTATCTGCAACTTATTTGAATCACAAATTATTTAGGTAATCTTTTGTGAAACATAAGGAATATTTATTTCATTTGGTTTTAGAGAAGAAAACATGAATATAAATTAGCACATTTTCTCTGCACATTTGACTCCAAGAAATATCAGGAACTCTTACATTTGCTACTTGTCTCAATTCTTCATCATGCTGATTAAAGATATCCTCCCATTTACATTGGCGCCGCCTTCTGCGGGCTTCTAAATCTGAGAGTTCAAACTCTTCAGGTCTCCGTGATAACTTTCCCCGAAACCTCTTTGGTGATAGTCTTTTTGCCAGTGCTTGCCTTAGACTAGAAACCTTTGATTTTTTCTTCCGAGCCTGTTCTGGTTGAGAGTAAAACATGTTTGCTGACAAATTTTCCATCAAGGTTTGCAGTGGACCAAGTGGCTTTGAGTTATGTGAGCCTGGTGCTCGAAGCAAGTCTCTTGATAGTCCCTCTATCAGTGCTTGAACCGAACCAGCTACCTGAGGGGGCTCTAGTGCCCAGGCCTGTACCTGAGGTGACTCTCCAGTTTGCCCCTCAACAGGAATAAGCACCTGAGTATCTAAATGTAGTGGCAACAGCACATGGTGGTTCTGGGACAGCAGCGGCAAGAACACCTGGGCATGTATTCGTAATGACTCGGGTTCCTCTGCTTCGGTCTCTTCCTGCACAGGTTCAACAGCCTGTCCCTGTACCTCTGGATGTTCTGGTACTTGGTTCTGCTCCAGCTGCTGTTCGGGTACCTGGTGCTGCCCTCGCTGCTGTTCAGGGGCCTGACCCTGCCTTTGTTGTTGCTCAGGTACTTGATCTTGCCCCTGAAATTCCTCTGGTACCTGGTCCAGATCCTGTGGCTGTTCTGATACCCGGTCCTGGGCTTGAGCCTGCTGTTCTGTGAGTACCTGGGCCTGTCCTTGTATAGACCGAGGTGTCATAACCTGAGCCTGTAGTGGCATGAGCACCTGGGCTGTCCTCCTTAGTCGTGGAGGCGCCTTGACCTGCATCTGTAGAGGTTGAGATGCCTTAGCCTTAACCTGAGCCTGTAGTGGCATGAACACACGAGCTGCCCCATGTAGTCGCTGAGGTGCCTGGGCCTGCCCCTGTAGAGGCCTAGGTGCACTGTCCTGAGCCTGTAGTGGCATGAACACCCTGGCTGCTCCCTGTAGTTGCTGAAGTGCCTGGACCTGTGGCTCTACTCGATCAGGTAACCACCGTGGCTGAGAGGGTTCTCCATGGAGGACTCTAAGTGGTCTGCATCTGCTGCTGGTTGGCAGTCTCAGAAGCTCATGAGTACAGGAAGGTCCTCTAAAATCAAACATATAAATGACAACCGTACAATTAGAATTTTCAGTGTAATGAAGCCATTCAGGGGAAATGCTTTTATTTTAAAAGATGGCCATTTTCTGTAACCAAGATATTTTCAGTAAACATTTCTTGAATCTTTCCTGTAATGCCTGAAATATCCTTTGTATTATTGTTGTTGTTGTTGTTATGTGCCGTCAAGTTGGCCCC